TCATGCCTATCATGAATGCCCTGAGACAGCTGATAGACATTCTGATATGCTAGTCCTGTCATGCTAATCTATAGCCTGGAGAGTTGTGCCTAACAGAAGCTGGAGCAAGTCTCCCTGCAAGTTAATGGAACATGAGGCAGGGCCACAAGAATTTGCCCAAGTTTTCACTGGCACAGGTGCCCAGGTATGGTTTGGCTAACCAAAGGGGGAAGAGCTAGTGCAGGCACAAAGAGAACTCTGCCACAGGTAGGTTTTGAAGAAGCAGGTAAGCAGCTTAGCACGGAGCTATGCCAACTGGACTGATTTTTCTACGTTGTTTGTTCTTTGCCAGAGATGTGTTGTTTTTAACTGTTTATTGCTTATGCACTGAAACTGATTTGATCTTTAAACCGTTTTTTGGTATGTACACAGAATCTGTCTTTTCCCCAGTCTGTATTTTGCCTGAATGTTTAATAGATCTTCTACTTTGTTTTCATCAGATTGTGTGCTTTGGGCGTGAAAGGGAGGAGGCTCAAAAGAGGCATGTCTCAGTTTTGGGTCACACAATACTTTGGCCACCTACTGAGAAGGAAGGAGTTCCTGGAGAAGAGCCTAATGCTGGGAACAATAGATGGCAAAAGAAGAAGAGGACGGCAGAGAATGAGGTGGCTAGATGGAGTCACTGAAGCAGTCCGGGTGAGCTTGAGTGGACTCTGGAAGATGGTGGAGGACAGGAAGGCCTGGAGGAATGTTGTCCATGGGGTCACGATGGGTCAGACACAACTTCGCGACTAACAACAACAACAATGCTGTGGTAACACTCAGGTGACATGCCACATGTGGAATGCAGCTTGCAATCCAGCTGTGCTTCTCTAAGAATGCAGGTAAGCTGCAAAGAAGCCCACTACGAAGGATATCAGCAGGATCCCTGGGCAGTCACTGCCAAGGGACTAAGAGACTGGGGTTTTTTACCCTAAGTGGGGGAAGCCAGTCGCAATGGCCCCGATGTCACAGGTCTTGCACCCTGAGACAGGGTTGCCAACAGGCAGCTGGACACCACAACTCCAGGACTCAATGCACTGCAAGGAACTGTTGTTTCTATTGATGGTCATCGTGAGATGATAGAAACAAGAGTTGCAAATTTAGAAGACAGAGGTCTTGACATTGATTCTGTCATATCTGCTTCTCACAACACAATCTCTGCATGTGCTCACTTTTAGAAGCTTTCTTAGGAAGAATTAGACAGTGCTTCATTTTTTATTTTAATAATTTTATTAATTTAACAAACATAAGCAATGTAATTATTATAATAGCAATAAACATAATTAAGCAATGCAATAATAACAATACAACAATACTAAGAAACATAATTAAACAATGCAATAAAAACAGTGGTATCTCGACCAGGACCAACATATCATGCTACTTAATGTAAAATCATTTATTTATTGAGGTTGCCGCATTCCCACTTCCCCTCCAGAACTGCATTGACTCCTGTGATGGTTCACACCCTCTTCCTCTTATTAAGACGCTCTCCAAATATTTTCAAAATTAATTTTACTTACCAAACTTTTTCCACTTTATATCACAAGTTAACTTAGCATTAATAGCTATATTACAAACTTCTTTATGCCTGTCATCGAAACCACTTTTGATATTTGATAACCACTTTTATTTTCCAATTCCTTGCTATTATTATCTTACTGCTAATAAATTTGTCATTGATTATTTAATATTTTGTCCCACTTGTTCTCTAAATAATGACTACAAAGCTAGTACATGGTCTGCTTCAGTGTTTACATTCCATATTTTACTAATTTATTTGAAAACCACTTCCCAAAACTCATTTATATATTTGCACTCCCACCACATATGGAAATATATGTACCCACTTCCTGGTTGCATCTCGAATTTACATTGCAATATTCATTATTCATATAATTCAATTTAACCTCTTCTTCAACTCATTTAATGGTTTAAATTGGAGAAAGAACCCCCCCCCCCCCCCCGCCACTGGCCCTTGCCACTCCTCTCTTTTGTTTTCATTCTGGAGAAGCTTTCAAACTACTGCAAGATCCATTTCTTCATAGTCAGTAGCCAGGATCAAAGAAATGCTCAATGTCCTTCTTTTGAAATAAATTCTTGATCTATTCTGGCCCATCTTTTCAATTTCTTTCTTCCACTGCTCTTTGCCTATAATGCCCATTCATGTGCCAATTTTAAACCTTGTTCCAGTGACTCTATTTTGTATTATTTTCCATTATGCCAGGAAATAAGTGTCTTACATACACTGGGTATCCACAAGTACAGTGGTACCTCAGTTCACAAACTTAATTCGTTTCACGATTCTGGAACCAAATTGGTCGCGAACCGAGTCAAATTTCCCCATAAGGTTCAACGTAAATAAGGTCAATGTGTTCTGAACCATAACTTTATGTTATACATAAAGGACAGCATATAAAAGTTTTAAATAAGTAAATATATATGTAATTTTTTTTAACCACAAAAATATGAGCCATATTCCCAGGCTGTGGGCCAAGCCGCCTCACCAAGCCCGGGGGTGTACGGGCTGAGGCAGAGCGGGAGTGCAGCTGTGGCTCCCACACCTCCACCGTGGCCTTCTCAGGGCCAGCCGCAACCGCCGTCAAGTGGCCACCATGCTTCTCCCCCCATGGCGGGCAGAGGTGGGAGGCGCCCTACTCAGCCGGCTGCAGCCCTGTCCCTCCCCTCCCCTCACCTCGGCCCGCAGAAAGCAGCCCTTACCTCCCTCCTCGCGGCCCTCTCCCAGCCGGGGGAGCCATCCCACACCCACCTCTCCAGCCTCCCGCTCCTGCTCCCCCTCCCGGAGCCGGGCGAGTGCCTGCGAGGGGACCTTCCTCTGGGTCGGAAGTGGGGTGGCAGTGAGGAGCCCAGAAGACCTTGACTGAGGCAAGCACGCTCTCAGGGCGCCCCCTCGTGTCGTGCTCTCCCTTTCAGCAGGCGGCATGGCGTCACCTTGGGCTTCTGCTGCAGCCCGAGTGAGTGGAAGACGGCCACGTCATGTTCATCACCTGATGCGGAGTTCATGAATGGAAGCAAAATTTTGCCAGACTTTCTGTTCGCAAACCAAATTGTTTGCAAACAGAAGCATTCATGAACTGAGGTATTACTGCATATTTAATATTATTCCTCAACATAATAATCTTAAATGCTTGTAATGATCATCTAAACAGAATCTTGAAAGGTGCATCCTTAAACTTTAGTTGATCCAAATTTTCTCTCAACTTTATCAGTTGCTCAGGAATTTTTATTTATTTATTATTTATTTATTAAAACATTTTATGCCACCCCATTCGCCGAAGCCTCGGGGCAGCTCACAAGAATTCAGCTTATCACATACTCCATTGTTCATGGCTTTTAAAATATCCATATGAATACATATAAACCTTTATATTTTACTTGTTTTAAGATTCAAGAACACTTTAAACAATTGAGAATGAAGCTTTTACTTTCTTTCACAAACTACAAGCCAGTCCCATTAGAATTGTTTACCGTATCCATCTTTACACTGGAGCTGTGCTGAATCTAGTTAAAGTTAACTGCTGAAACTTTTACAGTCTGTAAGCCAAAGGCTCTTCAATTAGCTTTAAGTTTCAAAGTTCTTTTTCTCCTGACTGTTTTTCAGCACAGTCACCAACTTAGTCCAACATAGTCACAATCACTCCCCCCATTGACGCTATATCCTTTTCAGTGGGAGTTTAAAAAATTGAGTTTACTTACAATCTATACATCAGTACCTCCTCATTAAAATCTCCTCAGGCTGCAGAACTCTTCTTCTTCAAATCACACCTACAAGCATCTACTATCTCTGAGACATATGGAGATGATATTAGTGGGTGTTTCCTCTGACCAGATGGAGTGCGCTCATTCTGTTCTAGATGAAGGATGGGGAGTAACTGTTGGGGGTGCTCCTTGATCCATCTTTGTCTCTTGAGGCTCAGGTGACTCAGTGGCTTAGAGGGCCTTCTACCCGCTTCAGATGGTAGCCTGCTATGCCCCTGCATGGGCAGGAATAGACTGGCTTCAGTAATCTTATGCTCCGGTGATCATTAGACCAGATTACTGAAATGCACTCTGTGAAGACTGTTCAGAAGCTGTGGCTGGTGCAGAATGCAGCAGCCAGATTAATATCTGGAAGCTGTAGTTGTGAACCATTTCTGGCCTGCTTGCGTTGGCTGCCTGCATGGTTCTGGGCCCAATTCAAGGTGCTAGTTTTATTCTGTAAAGCCATACATGGCTTGGGACCATGAGACTTGACAGAGCATCTCTCTCAACTGCAGTGGGCCTGAATATTGTGCTCAACATCCAGGTCCTTCCTCCAGGTGCCAGCTCTGGGGAAGGCTCAGAGGGTGGCAACAAGAGGGAAGGCTGTTGCCCTTTATGGTGAGACTTTGGAAGGCATGCTTGGTTATCCAGGGGTTTCAAGGGAATAAGCATCCCAGATGTTTTTACTTCACAGGGTTATTCTTCACTGTGTATTTTGAGCTCCTTTCAATGTTTAATGTTTCTTTTGATAAGACTGTATGGTATTTTATTGTATTGCTTTTATATACTGTTGTAAACTGCCTAGAGAGCTTCAGCTATGGGGCAGTAGAGAAATTAAATGAAATTAATTGTGTGTGTGTGTGTGTGTGTGTGTGTGTGTGTGTGTGTGTGTGTTCTCACTCTTCCTAACTATATACCTGTCTCTACGAACTTTACGCAAGGTCAATGTCAATAGATTTACTTTGCCCTTTTTATAGTTAAAACACTAATATGTCAACATTAGAAGAACAAATTTGAAGACTTTTGATGTTTGAACAGGTGCTTTTTAGGCATGATTTATAAATGAACAAATGCCTGGGTTGCCTTTGATGAAGTCTATGCATAATTGTCCTTAACAATGGTAGCATATCTTGTCACACCTATTATTTATTCATTGTAATATATTTACTCAATTCTCATGTACAAAAACTGTAATACCCCCTTTGTTTTTGTTCTTGTTTAGGTTTTCCTGTGGATTTTGTTTTGTTTTGCTTTTTGACACAAGACACACTTCTAGGGTTTCTCCCTTGCACAGTTGCTTTTTGTATCATCCAAACCTTGAACAACAAAACCTTCTTCAGTTCAAGCCCAAGAAGAAGTGAGCCCTTCTCGCCATTCTTGCCAGATACTGACCGGGGAATATGACTGACAGCTGCTCCAGTTTGGCATGGCTGACAGAACTATCTGAGCTGCTGCCCAGGAAAAGATATCTGGGACAAGCTGGGAGCTGGCTGTTGGCTTAGTGGGCTACCCTGTTCTCAAGGCAGTGCCACAGAACCGCAGGCTTAGCCTCAGACAGGAGCTCAGAGCTGCAGAACTGCTCAGAGGCACTGTCCATTCTCAGGGCAGCCCTGCCAAGTGGATACCCCACCCACCCCAGCTCCTGCTTGGGAGTAAGTCTTTCAGACAATCAGCTTGGTGACACAGCCCCAGTGCCTTTCCAATAAGTATCATATTCCCAGTTTGGAAGCTGATTCCCTTCTGGGGAAGCTTCTCTTTTACAGTTGTCAGCCTGTGCCAGTGTGCGAATGGGGAGCCAAACTATACAAACTTGTCCTTCATCTTCTTCAAACAGGCAGATGGACTTTCTAGGGAAATCAATGTCTAGGAAAATCCCTTGTGTACCATTGTAACTGGTGCATTGATTAATGTTCAACCAATTTGTGTAATTAAGCACATTAATGCTATGGAAGTTTATTTAAGTACACATGCATCCCATTCCAGTAGCACAAGATGAGCTGAGGTTTTTCAAGGGGAGGATTATCAGGATCAGGCAAAACTTGGAAACGCAGCAGCGTCAGGGCGACAGCCAGCTTCAGCTCCATCATGGCAAACTGTTGCCCAATGCAGTTCCTGAGGAAGATAAACAGTCAAGTTCAGCTGTGAATGGAGCCCTCACTGAGATTGGCTTCACGATCTCCTCATTTTTTTCTTACGTACTCCATTTGTAACTCCAGAGGAGTTAAAGAATCTGAAAATAATAGGAAGGTGCCAAAAAAGCGAGTGTGATGCATTTTGGGATGTGTGTGGGCTGAGAATAGTTCTGTAGCAATGGGAACTGGAGTCAGTCGAGGTGTGAGGTAAAGTCGTATGCTTGGCACAGAATTTTATTTTAGTGAAAGATGTACAGACACACACCCATTGTGGTCATCTGGGTCTTACCACATTCAGTTCATACAAATCACATTTTACTTTGCAGATTTAATTAACTGCAGTTTCTCTTTAATTTGCATTTAGGGATCAGAGAACCAGAGGTTTCCAAACTTGACCAAATTCTGTGACAATCCATTCAGTACTCATGCTCTAGTTTTGTTGTTTGATCTGCTCTTCAGCTTATTTGAACTGCCTTACTTTGCATATTTTTCAGTAGGGTGTGTTTTCCCCTCATTGGTTAAATCAGGAAAGTGCACACTTTTGAAAAATACACACAGTAATGTACAGTCTGGAAAACAGATCAGAAACCACTGGTGCAAGCCAAAAGTGGAGCAAGGTGGTAGAGTGATGGAGTCCACCTTCTTTACAATAAGACAATTATATAGCTTTCTTAATTGTATTTTCCATGACCAAAGTTTGAAATTCCTGGGGAATGAGCAAAAGTGGTAAAGCTCCATAGCTTTAATTGATAATTGATAATTAATGGGGAAACTGTATGAGATTAAGAAGTGGAGGAAGAAATATAGAATGGCATCAGGGAATCCAAAGGACAAGTTGAAGAGGGGTGAAATTTGAGAGGAAGATGGCAAACACTGTATTTTAGATTGAATGGAACGAAGCCACTATGTTCCCAAATCTCAAATTTAAATAACTCTAAATTAATATCAGGCATAGTTAATCTTTCAAGTAACCAACTAAGAAATTACATCAGGTAATACTCTTAGAATAAAGAGACATAATGAAAGTTCTCCCCATAAATATTAATGGCATGAATTCCCCCTATAAACAACCTGAAGTCTTTAACTTTTTTAACGCAATTGTTATACACATTTTTCAAAGGTGTTCAGAAATGGTTAGTTGCAGCAGTTCCTGCCTAGTAACATGCACATACTGATCACCCTGCTTGGGTACCCCTTATGAGATCCCTTTATCCTGATCTGAAACATGGTTTACATGCAGAATACTTCACCCATAGATTGGTTTCTCTAGAAGGTCACATGATAATATGCCACTAGCTCAACCAATCAGACCATTGGTTGAGCTAGTGCGTTCATTATGAAAATTGAAGACATCGAAGCTGTGCTTACTTTGTGTGATTTATTTAGCTTCAGTACATTGAATCTTCCCAGTAGTGATTTCAGTGTCCTGGGTGAACACTCCACATGACCAGTAGAAATAAAATAAATTTTGCAAAGCAAGCAAGATTATAATTTGCACAATGAATTAATAAAAGTTTGCTGAATTCAGCTTTTTTGTGTCAGAACTTGAGTTTCTTTGGCACTGAGTTTTCCCTTTTTAAAATCGCACAGTATTCAGTTCTGGGACATTCATCTAAGCTGGCTATCTATACCATCGTTCCCCAAACTGGTGGTCTTCTGGTGTTTTGGATGTTAACTCCCATTAGCCCCACCCAGATGGCCAATGGTCAAGAATACCAAGAGTTGTAGTCTAACCTATCTGGATGGTACCAGGTTGGAGAATTCTGGTCTACACTATGGAAATGACAGGCAGTACAATACTAAGCTGTACCATCTTGCAGTAAGTTTTCCTATTTGTACAATTCCACAAGATGTGTTTTTGTTTTGTTGTATTAGTTTTTAAGAGAATACTTTTCTAAATACCACATCCAGGATCATCCAAGTTGCCTACAAATCCTCTACAACACAGGTGGAGAATCTATCCACTGTGAATTTACCTCCTTTGACATACAACACAATTGCAGACTGTGAGCTAACACAAAATGCTTCTGTGATTCTCAGTAAAATGTTAATAAAACCAAAGATCTATCAACTCTCTGGAACAAATGATATATACATACACACATACCTCAGATCATTCCACACTTCTGAATTTTTATGAAGTGCATAAATATTCAGGGATATCAAACCACCTGTTGAGGATTAAGAAGAAGTGAGGAAAAATTCATTAATAAATGGAAGAGTTCTAATGTTGTACTACTGGGTTGTGCAAAAGCTTTGCTCAGGATACTTAGCAGCTGACATATTGTAACAATGTATTTTGTCACTTATTTTTGCCACCATTTTGTAGTGTTTTAAAGGATTTTCATACTGGTGATAGCAGTATGGTGGCGGAAATTATACTGGGTGTGTGTTTTGGTTTCATGCAGAAGTGGTCTTCCAGTTTATGGACTTACCATGTCCTAAAAAGAGGACCCTTGAAAAAGATAGATTCAGATGGAGAGGGTTAAGGTGTGATTAGAGCAAACAGTATGTAGACATTTCTTAACTATAGTGAACACTGTAGAGAGCACCATAACTGGTTTATCATTGTACATGCTCAAAAACATGAAACAACATAATACTGACTCAGACCATTGGTCTAGCTAGCCCAGGATTCACTGCACTAACAGAAGCTATCCAGGATTTCATATTGGTTATTTTTCTAATCCTACTTGGAGGTATCAGGGATTGAAGCTGGGATCTGTATATGAAAAACAGGTGTTCTTCCACTGATCAGTCCTTCTTCCCTGGCTTGAAACTATCAACAGAACAAAAACATTCTTTGGTTTGGTTTTCCCACCCATGTCAAGGAAAAACGTTTCTTCCTTATAGGCAGAAGCAGAGATTGGGTGCTGTAGATTCTATGTCTCAGGAAAATTTAGGGGCTTCTTACCCCAGTTCAGAGAAAATTTTATCTTGAAAGTCAACTGACCAAGTCAGCCCTGTCATCCCACCATGCCATATCCTAATCACAAATATCTCATCCAGGATCCTCTTGACATTCTTTGAGTTCCTACCTGTTGTTGTTGTTAGTTGCAAAGTCGTATCCGACCCATTGCAACCCCATGGAAAAAATTCCTCCAGGCTTTCCTGTCCTCCACCATCCCCTGGAGTTCTCTTAAACTCACATTAACTCCATCTAGCCACCTCATTCTCTGCCCTCCCCTTCTTCTTTTGCCATCAATTGTTCCAATCTCCAGGGAGTCCTTCCTTCTCATTAGGTGGCCAAAGTATCTGAGTTTCACATCTTCAGTATCTGGCCTTCTAAAGAGCAGTCAGGGTTGATCTCCTCTAGGACTGACCAGTTTGATCTCCTTGCAGTCCAAGGGACTCGCAGGAGTCTCCTCCAGCACCACAGTTCAAAGGCCTCAATTCTTTGGAGCTCAGCCTTCCTTATGGTCCAGCTTTCACAGCCGTACATTGCAACTGGGAAAACCATAGCCTTGACTATAGGCACTTTTGTTGGCAGGGTGATGTCTCTGCTTTTTAGTATGCTCTCTAGATTTGCCATAGCTTTCCTCTGAAGGAGCAAGCGTCTTTTAATTTCTTGGCTTCCGTCATCATCTGCAGTGATCTTGGAGCCCAGGAAAATAAAATCTGTCACTACCTCCATTTCTTCCCCAGGGGTATCATCTGCATATCTGAGGTTATTGGTATTTCTCCCGGCAATCTTAATTCCAACTGGTGATTCATCCAGCCCCACCTTTCTCATGATGTGCTCTTCATATAAGTTAAATAGGCAGGGCGACAGTATACAGCCTTGCCAAACTCCTTTTGCAATTTTGAAGCAATCAGTGGTTCCAGGTCCAGTTCTCGCTCTTGCTTCTTCCACCTGTTAGTCAATGATTATTTGTTTTAAAAACAGTGAAATGTAGCCACTGCAAATGCAATGAAGCAGACCTGTGGGCAGCATCCTCCCATCAGAAAATGTGACAGGCTTGTTGAGCTCTCGAAACACCTGAGGGACAGAAGGATAGATCTGGAGGCTTTCCTTAATACACATTGTTGTGTAGGTCATCTTATTAAGGTCATCCCTGGCACAGGAAAAACAAAAGTGCACAAATTGAGAAACTGACACAGGACAGAAAGATCGGCTGTAGAAATTAAAAGAGCCAAAATTGGATGTGCATATGTTTTTTTAATTCTATATTTAGACTTCCTCTGAAATAACAAGAGGAACTAGTGGAGGAAATGGAAATACAGTTTACATACCTCCCCCGGGCAAATCCCCCTTTAGGCTTTCTATGAATCTTAACATATAAGAGTATGAGACACTGTACTGGACAGAACTATTTGCAATGTCTGAATAAGTTTCAAGACTTTGTGGCATTTTGCTCCATGAAGGTTGTACCTGAAATGTTTCCATATTGCCTTAAAAGTTAGCATCTGAAAATAGAGGCACAAATATAACTGGAAACCCCAGATCAGGTACTGATTGAACACAGCGCTTCGGACAGGAAAAGGAGATACTGTATTAAGGGAATTCTCACCAGTGCAGCGTGTCTCGCCCCTTGACAATGTCCTTTATCTCCTCCCTGCATCTTTGCTGGTGCTCTGGGTTCTGAGCCATTGCATATAAAATCCAGGAAATCCCACTGGTTGTGGTATGATGACCCTCAAACAGAAATGTGTCCACTTCACAACAGATGTCTTCATCAGGTAATCCAGCACCATTTACATCCTGACAGCCAAAGAATTATCAAGGTCAAACGTCACTGAAAGAACGCTCTGCCTTCTATTTTAAGTGGTCACCTTGGGCAAGTTCGCAGATCAGCTTGGCAGTGTGGGTTATTCATGAAACAACCCACCGCGTGCCCAACAGATGCTCAGGCTCACTCTATGCCTCCACTTCTTTCCTCTTGGGCATCCTGTGGACATCCCAGAAAACTCCATGATGGGACCCATTTTGTCTCCTTTCCCCAGGCTGGCCTTGTCTCCATTTTTGCAGTTGTTATGTCTTCCGTGTTTTTCCTCTACCCCCACTCCTGATTGCTATTATTTTGCTTGATCTCTGAAGTGTCGGCCACTAACAGCCCCTCCAAAGGTCCCAAGCAACATATTGAGGTGGCTGTCACTGGTTCACCACCTTTGTCTGTATGTATGTCTGAAATTTCCACAAGTGTCATCATCCTAAAAAAAGGTCTTTTGTAAGTGCATACTTGTGCAATTCCATGAAAACGAAATGAAATGACTGCACAAGTGACTGAAATGATCATCCTTGCTGCATCAGTGTCCCTGGGAAGGGTCTCCTGTCAAAACGCACCATTCAAAAACATCAATGAAACAAGACTTCAACATGATTTATTTTTACTGTGCTTTCCCTCAACAGTGGTCAAAGGAAAGGAGCTGCGTGTGACCTTTGGTAACAAAAGGAAATGGAGAGTAGATCACTCCCTTCATGATTGCAAAAATAATAGGTGGCAAACCTGTGGCAGGCATGGTAATGTCCCGCTTCGGTATTTTAGGGGGGCTGCCAATGGCTGTCACCTCAGAGATGATGCAAAGTGATAGTGATTGTGGAGGGGAGCCGTGGAGAGTGTAAAAGGACTCATGACTGTTGTGCCGAGGTGCTGCTTGGACACTTGCCAGAATGGCTGTCACTGGCGGGCTCCCAACAGGGCGTAGGGAAAGAACATCAGGGCGTAGGTTGCCCCTCTTGCAAGCAGCACACTCAGCAATTTGCCGGACCTGGAAAAGCCATTGATTTTTCAGGATGCCTCAATGCCCACAAACAAGCCGCCTGAGGGAAGCAGCCTGGCTTCGCTTAACCCGACTGCCCACCATGGCTAGTTATCCATGATGGGTTGTTATCTCAGGTAAGCCTCTTTATGCGAAACCGATCCTCCAGGTAAGTGACTTGCTTTAGTTATTTGTGTATGACTCTTTTATACCATCATTTATTCCAGGAATCTCATGACGATAAACAAAATCAAAACAACAGAACAGTTACAACAATCAGAAACTCCACAGTGCCAGTACTTGATAGAAGATAAAATTAGAAATACTATCTGCAATGTAAAAATGGGGAAAATAAAAATGTTTTGTCCTGGTGCCGGAACAGATAAAGCGCCAGCGCCAGGCACACCTCTCTGAAGAACATATTCCATAATTGGGACGCAATAGTAGAAAAGGCTACTTGCCTTGTAACAGTGCGCTTCACCTCTTTCAAGAGCCCTATTATGGATAGTCCTACAATACGACGGTCTTTGGAGCAGTGAATAAAAAAAGAGACAAACAACCAAAGAATAAAAATATGTTAAAACAGAGTAACTTTAAAAATGTTATCTTTTTAAAGTTATTCTTTAAAAAAAACTTTAAAATCTTTTTAAAGTTATTCTTTAAAAAAATTTCAAAAAATCTTTATTCAATCATTGACCAGCCAATAAAACACAAAATTGCAATTTGTTAAAATAAGATATATACAGTGATTCTAAAATTACAGGAATAAGATAAGGAAAAATAAAAGCACTCTAGGAAAACCTAACAACATTTAGGGTTAATTCTACTGTGCACAGTATAAACTATTGAACCGTATTTGGCTGTGGTCAAGGAAATAAAAAAGGATTGATTGGACAAAAGTATCTTAAGATAAAAAGAATCAGAGTGACCAGGATATTTAGAAAAGATTGGGAATAACAGTTCCTGGCAAGCACCTGCATAGAGAGGACAATAAAAAATAACATGCTCCAACAATTCAATTATTTTCCCCCACATGGACACAGTGTCTGTTCGAAGGGTATTTTTTGATATCTCCCTTCAGTTATGTCTGTTGGGAGGGCATTGAATCTAGCTAGAGATAAAACCCTTCTGAATTTAGGGATCCTTATGTGACTGAGGTATCTAGCTGGATGAAGAAGATATGAAGAATGGTTCAGGAAGGTATTTCTGGATAGATTTGGATAATTGGATAATCTATTTATAGCTTCCTGAAACAACAACATCTTCAGTATACACTGAAATCAACATGGTGTGGGAGCCTGCATAAAAGCCCCTTCACAGGAAACCTGATCCAACATTGTTTAGGGCTTTGCACACTAGTACCAGGGCAGTAAACCAGCTTCTGGAGCTCACTTAAGGATGCATTTTAATCATCCAGTCTTGGGTAGCTAACACTGGGTTAATTTCAGTGCAATGGATTGATCCCACTTGGCATTCCAGATATCTTGGATTGCAAGTCCCAATATCATAGTCAAGCACATCTGGATAGTACCAGATTAACAAAGCAAACCAAGCTGCTCAACAATATCAGCACCAACAGTGGATTCCATCTCTCTTCTGACAGGAGGAAAAAGACATGTGATAGTGTTTGTGCACATTTCATCCTTGAAATTCTGTCATATCGAATCTACTTACCTTGGCACAGAGAAGAATATCCAGAAAGTCTAGATACCTCTTTTGTTTAATCTTTTCAAGTTCCCGTTCACCACTGAGAAGTGTCTTTCTCTCTTTAATTATTTTTTCTGTCAGAACAGTAACATAATTAATTTTTTTCAAACCATTTTCTTAGCATGAGTGCATCAGATAAGCTTCGTTCTCACATTTCTTATTTTGTACAAATGCAAAACTTCTAAAGAGTTACTTCTTTTTGTACCAGGAATGCGTTTCAGTATTTATTTCTTTAAACCTGCTTCAACAAATAGTTTATACAGTTTGTTTTTAAAGTGAAAATTTAAATTTGAACTGTAAAACATTTATATTAAATATTGAAAAGTCATGTTTTAGAGTGTTGTCCTAATGAATTGCCAGTCGATTGACTGACAATCCAGAGATTAGAGTCCTCTATCTGGCATCCTATAGAGATAGGACAGTGAAACCAGGCAGGAGGGGAAAAAATTGCAGCAGCAGATGTTTCCGGTGCCTCATTTTGTTTATGTAAGCCTAGCTCATCTAGCTGACCTAGAGAGAGAGGCTTTAGGATCATGGAACTCTTGGCCTCTCCTCTTCCACCCCTCCCTGACTTGTGCCTCATCCCCCTTTCCCTTTCCCCAGGTTTTTCCGATGTTGCTGTTGTGACCTCGGAACAGCAGTCACCGTTGTGCAGTGACGGAAGGGAAAGGGTCCAATCTTGGATTTCCCCTGCCAGGCTTGTAGCAATGTCTACAGGTCTGGATAGGAACCCCCCCCCCATATCTGTGTTCCCCATGATGCACTAGAAGGGGCCATAGGATTGCTTTACTTGACTTGTCGGCGTTTCCTGCTTCCTTTGATGTTAGTAGAAATCATAACTGAAATTCCTCGCACTATTGACTGTTAAATAGTCCATTTAATTAATAATCATTATTATCCTATACATTAAAAAAATCATTCATCCTAGAGACCCCCGGGAGGCAACTGATTTGCACAGAGGTACTTCTGAGCGGCATTCCAGAACCGCCAGTTACATTGCAGAGGCCAGCCAAAGTAAATCAGTGGTCAGATTCTGTCTGTGGAAGCAAAGAGGGAGCTCAAACTGACCTTACAATACAATGCTCAACACATTTCACATACACATGACCAACTATTTTGGACATCTCGCCATATTTTTTATTTTAAAATGTTATTTTAAATTTTTTGTTGTAAGCCGCCCCGAGGCTTCGGCGAATGGGGCGGCATAAAAATGTTTTAATAAATAAATAAATAAATAAATATTATCAGGATAGTCTATCAATGTATAAACATCCTTTTATTTATTTATTTATTTAAAACATTTCTATGCCACCCCATCGCAATAAAGCCTCGGGGCGGCTCACAAAACATCAATAAATAACAATACAATAAAACCCCAATACAATAAAACCCCAATGCAATAAAACCTCAGTGCATTCTTGGCTAAAAATTAAAAAAAACCTAGTTAAATATATAAATTAACAATTAAAATAAGTTTTAAATAAAAAGGTCTTAGCCTGGCGCCAAAAAACAAATAACGATGGTGCCAGGCGGACCTCTCTGGGGAGCGCATTCCATAAATGGGGCGCCACCGCAGAGAAAGCCCTCCTCCGGGTACTCACCCTCCTGATGTCATTCACAGATGGTTTCCGGGGAAGGGCATCTGCTGCTGACCTCAAGGGGTGGAAGGGCATATATGGGAGCAAGCGTTCCTTTAGGTATCCAGGTCCCAAGCCGTTTAGGGCTCTATAGGTCATAACCAACACCTTGATCAGGCCCGGACCTCAATCGGGAGCCAGTGGAGCTGACGGAGAACTGGGGTTATATGAGAACAACGCCCAGTCCCCGTCAGCATCCTGGCAGCTCTATTCTGCACCAATTGAAGTATCCAGACCATCTTCAAGGGTAGCCCCACGTAGAGCGCGTTACAGAAATCTAATCGGGAAGTTACCAGTGTGTAACTTTTGCGGCACCACTTTGAGGCATTGCTTAATTTTCCTTTCCTGCGTTTGATACTGTTTCCCCTTTCCCTTAAGATTGTCCTAATGCCAGAAGCTGACCACCCATGTCCTGAAAGAACCTTTTCCCAGTTGTGTAAGCATGGATGCACAATCTTTCCATTGTACAGGGAAAGACAGCATAAAGCAAGCCGCATACCTGTATGGCGATGGGCTATTTTGCAAGCCTTAAAGAAACGGTACCCATCAGGAGTCAGATGATAGATCAGATCATTGTGATACAGAAATGTCTGCATTCTTTTTTGCATCAGACAACTCAAGTCACTAACTGCTTGGACGTATTCGTTCTTACTGTAGGGAGTCAATGAGATGATTTAATATGTGATTTTTTAAAATAATACAAGACAATGCACTGTAATTACTTATTCTATTTGCATTTATACATAGTTCTCTTCCCAACCTACCACCATACCACATTTTATGGCCTTCAGTGGAAGGAAGCATTATGCACGGTTGCTGAAACATGAAAGATAGTGACATCTACTTGTAGAGGCATGAGAGTTGCTGGCCATGGACCAGAAAATAGCATGGATTCTTTGCTTCGAGCCTGATGGCCATGGGAATTGGTTCTTACTGCATTTTAGGTGGTTATTCAGAAGGGGCATTTTTTCTTGAGTCAGTCCTTCAGCCACCTATAAACCAGATGCCTTTACTCGCCTTTACTCGTAGCTGTCATTCTGGCAGTTGCTGTGATAACTGAAGATACACCTCAGCATGACGTCCATTGTCATGGGGCCAATGTGATGGTAAATATCCAGTGATTTACCTTCTGGAACCAGCGTTTCCAGTTTATCCTACTGAAAAAGAGGAGAGGAGGCTTGCACGTGTTCAGCAGACATTTGGAGGCCATCCATTTGTGTCACCCTGAACATCCTGAAAATGCTTCAAGAATATGTCCTTCACTCTGCAATTACATTTCCTCTTTGTATTGGAATTTCAGCTGCTGCACTGAGGTATGTTGTGCAAGACTGCTGCTTCCCTAACTCCATTTCCCCATCAAAACCCAAGAATCTAGCCCATCTGCACCCCTGTGATACTCCAGTGCTGTTGGAGTGACAGGGCTACACAACCAAAACAAGTTCCTCCCTGCACTAAGCCCAGTTTCCTACTTAGATTAAACCAGACCAGAACACCCTCCCCATGGTTATGTTCATGCCCAGGATCCTGTTCCTACTTTGTCCTCTCAGTTTTTCTTTGAATACAATGCTTTTGAAGGGATATGCTATGGATCTGGAATTCCCAGACAACGATGTATCCAGTTGTCAGCCAACTTAGATGCATCCATTTAAGTCTGGAGACTTTGTGCCCAAGCCAGCACCTCCAGCACCTGGGAAAGATCGAAGCTGCCCTCTGCTGGGCATCATGGTACCACAAGTGTCCTGATTGCCTTATTTTGCACATTGTTGCAGGCCCTTAAAAGATTGAATGTTGGGAGGAGACAGTGGTGGGGAGTCAAAGCAGGCATTGGTGAGCTTGCCCAAGATAAGGAGCACACTGCCAGTGTGGGGACCATGACTGTGTTTGTTAAAGACAACTCTAAGTGCCTGTTGTGAACAGGGACTGTAATATGAACTGTATTTGCCATGTTGATTCAATGTAGCCAAGAGACTGCTTGTCTTAGGGTTTCAATCGGAAATTAGAGAAAGAGAGAAAATGCTAAAAATCAGTTTAGTTACCAGCATTATTTTGATGCAGTTGACCATCAGTGGCACATACGACTTTAAAATGTCACTATGAAAAGCTGGAGTCAGCGATCGTCGGTGAAGGAACCACCTGGGCCCATCTGAAACCAACAGCCCTTTCCCTAGTAAGAGAAGAAAAACCAGTCAACACTCCTTCAGTGAAGAGAGACATGTTTGGACCCTCATGAGCAGAAGATTTTAAAAGTCTGGACTAAGCCCCATCAGCTGCTATAACCGATATTTCTGTATTTTTGCAATAAATGACTGTGCACAGTGCAGAATTTGTGAGAATAAGGTTCACCATTTTGATCCTGCCTAACGTTACAGAAGATGTGATTTATTGCAATGGTCACTGTTTCTGGAGCCACAAAAGACAAGATGAGCTGGGCACCAAAGACGTGGCACCTTTGAGCTATCACAAGTTGTATGAGGGGCAGGGAGCAGCAGTGAAAGCTGGAACTCAGAACCATGTGCTCCTTGTGTCCTGCCCTGCATCCCTTAAGTTATTGACCCAAGTTGGATACAGTCTTGTCACCAGTTTAGAAGTAGGGTAAATTAGTGTGGAAGGAGGGCAGTTACCATTTTGTCTTTTGATTCAGACAGCAAACCATGTTGGGCCAGCCCTATAGATAAATCAAAGGTGGGCAGCTGCGATATGATCACATTTTAGCGAAGCTACTACATTCCAGTGATGTGTTCAAGTCCTTTGCTCCCAGTCTTGAGTCAAGTCTCGAGCCTTTACTTTCAAGTCCAAGTTGAGTCTCAAGTCATTGCAAGAAATTTTCGAGTCAAGTCTCAAGACTCTTCTCGAGTCAAGAGCCGACTTTTACAGGAAAAAGGTAGGAGGTGGTGGGATATGTGTGTGTGGGGGGGGGGATTGCAACCCTGCCCCAATGTTCCCATCTGAATTGAAGGAACTGAAGTCCTTTACTTCAACCACTATTTAGTTAAACAAAGTTGTGCTGTTATTCGAATTTATCAAGACTGCCGTTTAGAAATTGATTTTTTGACAAGCCCCCTCATGTCAAAAAGAAGAGCTGAAGCCTTCCTTCCCTTTATTGAAACCCCCTCTTCCCTATCCTGTCCGCAGCCCCTTGAAACACTCTCCCTTCTACTGCCTCTGCTGTGATCATGCCTGCCTTCCAGCCCGCCCATGGCAGATTTCTTCTGCCAAGGTAGCCCCAGGATATCCTGCTGCATGTTGGATGTGGGCACAAAGCCCTGGAGCAATGAGGTCATATAAACAGTAGAAATGTCAAGCCAAGTCAAGCTGCTCACTCATTGCTCCCAAGTCAAGTCCAAGTTGAACCACACAACTTCAGTCGGACTTGGGAGCGAATCGCTCAGCTCGAGTCCCCAACACTGCCCTATTCTTGTTCTGTTCTGAGGCTTCTTGAAGTTTGCAGGGGATGCATCTGATGGCAGTCAGTTTAAAGCAAGAAGAAAGTAAGACCTTAGATAGCTCCAAATGGGTCCTGCCAGCTGGAACGCTCTCCTACTAGAACAATAGGAGGATGCCGTCTGGCCAGGGAACTGACCCAACCTGAACCTTGTGTAGGTTGACAGGACATGTAGTGTGGCCAAGTCCACCTGTAGGAGCTGACTGGATTGGTAAGAGCTCTCACCTGCTTCTGTGGCCCAAGACCTCTGAAAGACTCAGGAGATGAGATTTCTGTTAGGGGCTTGTCCTGAAAGGCCAAGGCCAAGAGGACCTTGACTGCTCTGCCCCTGATGAAGTACCCTCTGCCTGGTTCTTTTTGGAGCTATTCAGTGCACAGTGGAAGCTCCAAAGGCCAGGGATCATGGCCATTCTCTGGCCCCCTGAGCTCACTTTCAACAGTGTGGGTAGAATACTTGCTTGCTTCCTCCCCAGAATTAAGTCCACATTAGCAACCAGTTAGGTGTGAACTTGCAAGAAGACTGTATGTGGAGGCAAACTCATTTATATATATGCAATAACAAAACATAATGCTATTTACCGATCCATGGAAGAAAGAAATTGTAGAAATCAAGTGCCTTTGAATCTGCAACCAATAAAGATGAGAACAAGCATTAAGCAATGACACATTTTTAATGTTACTGAAATAGCAGAATAGATCTCCCTTCTCCCTTTCAGTTTAGATGGTTCCTAGATAGATAAGATCAAATAGCTAACTAAAGTTCCCAACTTCTAGCAGTGCACTGCATGTTGGGTATATTAATACTCCTGGGAATGGATGTTAGGAATAATGTTAGAGAAGGTGAAAATGATTTCAAGATCCAAGACAACTTTCAGGTGAAGCAACAGATAAGGATTCTGTGACCATTGCTAGAGAGAAACAGTTTCCTTCTCACAAAGTGCCTGCAAAAACTGTTGAAGAGGTCCGATAAGCATTTCCCCAGCAACACAGAGTATTCACCCCAATACAGTTTCAGTGGCTGCCATTACTGGGCACCTGCCAAAGCCCACATTCCTATGGGGGACCTGCTGCCAATCCCTGTAGAAACCTCCTGTCCTTATCTCTCTTTCTTGTTATTCCTGCTTGCTAAACTCACCTCTCCAAAGAAGCAAGCACTGGAAGGAATAAAAAGAAGGAACAGTGACTGCTCCATGCCTTGGTCTTATCATCTTATCTGCCTCTGGGAGATAGTGTCAGCCATCTATGTGCCAGACGAGAGGCACATACATGGCCAGCGGTAAAGGGGCAAGGGGCAAGGAGCAAGAAGAGATGGGTTCACTCAGGGTTTATGTCGGAGCACTGGAGAAGGCAGAAGACACATTATTCAGCTTTAAGACTTTCATATTCCTGTTACATTAGCTAGGATCTGTGTGTGTATGTATAAAGAGAGACAGACAAAAATATAGAAGGCTTTTAATTTTGAATGTAGTCTAATAATATTTCAGTAGTACTGTGGAGGTAAGCTCCAGTGAGTTCAATAAGAATTACTGCCAGTGAATATAGGATTGATTTTTTTTGAATAAGTTTTATTCTAAATAAACCTAATACAAAGAAAAACTAACATCAGAAACATCGGACCTACTGGGTCAGCCCCCACATTTTTTCTTTTTATGTTAACATATGAACATATTTGAATCTATGTGAAGCCCCGTGTCTCTAGCCAATAGTAAAAAGAGTCCCAGGTTTGATAGAAGAGGATTGAATCTAAATAGCAGAGAACCTATAGATGGGATGTCGGGGGAAAAAGCTGTTCATCGTATCTCAGTATGAGCCATTTCTTTACCTCCTCTGCTGTATACAGCTTGGACATAATCTGGATGATAGATATTCAGGAAGCCCAAATAAGCTCCAAACCACAAGGAATGACAATAGGGATATTTGTCTGACCAGGACACCATTGTGTCCAGTTCTCCAATTCGGCGAAGCTGTAAAAATAGAAGAAAGATAAAATTATTATATCCATCTGTGTCGAGCGACTAAAGGATGTGGGGAGGGCAGGTGCTAATGACACAGAGGAAGATAATCTCTGAAACGTTACAATGCTGTGCCAAATTCCATCCATAACCAAATAAACTGTCATAATCTCATAATCATAGTTTTAAATTCTGTAGAGCCTTTCATCAGGCACAAAACTAAAGCTGGTTCTGACTTCCCAAATAATTCCTTATCTGACATAGAAACGTTAGAGTGGCCTGAATAACTTTTATAATACCACTTTATCCCCAAAAAATGCTTTGGGTTACCCAATAGCAAACATCCCAATGACCCACAGACTGCATATCCTCCTAAAATGCACCTGTATTGTTGCCAACCTAGAAACATGTTTCCATGTGGAAATAGCAGTGTGCTTAACTTATGATGCCACCAGAAAGTGAAATAAATAAGGAGCTGCCGATTCCCCACTCCCCACACCATGCACAAACACACACACACACAGACTCAAATGAGCACGAGTCATCCCAAATGATGCATCTGAACTACTGGAGACTCCCTCTACAAGCTGCTTGAGCATCATGTCTGACCACCCATCAGCAGGGTTTGTTTTCTTTAGGTTGCATTTTAAGAAGAGAGGACACAAGAAAGCAGAGTAATACACTGAAGCAAAAAAGTCTGGGGTTTGCAATAGTCTGAAGATAAAAACAGGACATGGAATGCAGACCTCAATGGCCAGCAGAAGCCAAATTGGGAAATATTAGCTGGTTGTTCAAAGCCATGAAACTTACTCTTGCTTCCCAAGGTAAGTATCTTCTCAGGGGGCAAAATGTCACCTTTGTCCATTTTTAATGCCTCTTTCATGGGCTGTCCAAAACACAAACTCCTCCAAAACACGAATGTCTGAGCATATCTCAATTTAATGGGTCCATGGCTATCATTTAATTATTGTGACACTTTGGCTGCTTGTAAAAATGCTTATTCCAAAATACAATAATAATCATTTCTCAGTGAACGCATCCATGTGATTGCTCTCTACAGTGTGACATTTTAGTTGTTCCTAGCAAAACAACTTTGGCTTTTAGATTTTTTTAAACAGACCATCATGTTTGTCTACAATTTTGACTATTATAGAGGATTTAATTTATTTCAGTCTAGTTATGCTAGACTAACAGAAACAAAATATAATGCAGCAGAGTGGGATGGAAGGCATTGTGTCTTTTTCTGCAAATGATTCATTCCTGGAAATAAGTCTTACAATAAACTGTTTGTTGCATTCTTATGGGTGCATGGGTTGTCATGAGTACTAAACTAAAATAATGTCTGGCCCCAAAAACCTGCAACATTCACCCAATTGTCACATGACTAAGGTGATGCAATTTCTATGCAGAAGATAGGCACTTTCTGCATGTCTCCTGCCTGCCAATGCTATACTTTTTATCACTTCCCACCATCTTCCTTCATAGGGATTCTCCTCATCCCGTACTCCAGTACACAAATCTTGGCACCATCAGGTTTTAATTGCCCTTAGCTACTCACACCATCATTACTCAGTAAGAGCCTACCCCCCCTCCCAGCAAGAACTGCAACAACTCCACACTCAGGACAAGTTACTTTGTGAATTAACACTTTGAGGAAGCTGCACCCTCTAGGAATTGTTGGCTTTCAACTTCTATCAGCCCTGGCCAACATGAGCAGTGCTTAGGAATGACAGGAGTCATGGTCCAAAGCCATCTTGGAGGATCACTGGTTTTCCACCACTGCTTTAATATTCATTCTTCTAAGATCCCAATCTATTGGCTTGAGGAAGGCTTACCACAGTGGTGTGGCCATAACACCAATGCTCTGGGAGGCCCGGGAAGCTCTCCAGAGATCTGAGCAGCTTCAGCCTCTTTTGGAGCAGCTGGATGACTTTCAGGAGCACGCTGGTGAGGCAGAAGGCAGCAGCTGTGTAAAAAAGCAGGTACAGCTTCTTCACATCCGGCAGCCCAGACAAGGCACTGTGCACTTTGCTTGGCACGTCGTTCACTTCCCTTGCAGCAATTGCTGGGTGCTTCTGTTTAAGTGTGGTGGTCACTCGTATTCATTCCTTACGTGAAACTGATTAGTGGTCACACCACTCTCATATTTCAGCATAAGGAAACGAGGGTAGCACAAAGGCTGCATTCCTTTGAGTGTATACTTTTATCAGCAGAATCCAGCTGTATTCCAGATCTCATATTTAATCAGTAGCATGCCCACTCAATGGTTCTGCCAGGATGATAAGGTCTGAAATAGCAGCCATAGAATCAGAGAAGAGCTAACCGCAGCATATTTGTGTTTGCTCTTGGGACTCTTGCTGGTAGGTACTGTGATATGAGGCAGTGCTTCTCTCCTAGTGCAGAGGAGGGTCGTGCTGAAGGCTTCAGGAGAGAAATTGCTGAAACTGGCTCTGATCGGTTGCACTGTCGCTGTTCACTAAGCTCCCCTGTACTCCATGTTGAACGTATCACACTGTTCAAGCACATTCCCTAACATCAGGCCTGTGCATGTTTAATCAGAAGAAAGGCCCTCTGAACTCATCAAGGCTTATGGAACTGTGCTTAGAACTGCCAAGGCATTTAGGGCTTTCAAACCCTCTGTTGGAAGTGTGCCTGGAAACAGATAAGTAATTAAAGCCACTCCTTACAAACCAGCACGCTATGTGCCAGGTCACCATTATTAGCTTGGTTTCTGCATTTTCTATCACTGGAGTTTCCAAGAAGTCTTCAAAGGTGGCCCGGTATTTGTGCCTTGTGCTCTGACTTGGAGGATGCCATGCCATGGATAATTGTGTCCCAGCTATCTCTGAATTGGGTCATCACAGAGGACAGTGCAGTGCACAAGCTAGTAAAAAGAACTGCATGGCATGGAAGCTACTTCCACCTCCTGTGGTGGTGCTACAGTCCAAGTGAATTGCAAAAGCAGAACTGCATATTTCTTTTATTCCAGGGTATAGTGCTGGGAAAATTTAGATAAATCCTGGCAGAAAAACGTTGCTTATATGTGACTTTGTGTTATAAAATTGAACCTCTTTCACAAAAGCACCGGATTTCCAAGCCAAGTCACTGTTTAATATTGCTGTTGCCTTAAGAAAATGGCATTCTTAGCTAGACTGAGAAGCCTCACTATTAGTGAGGAAATATATCAGCTATGAAAAAACTGAGATAATGGTGTTCAATTGTTTCTGAATGGGCCCACCTAAACAGAGGCAAGCTCTGGCTGAGTTTAAGTTGCCAAACCAGACTTCCTAAATGCTTCCTCCATCAGACACATTTGCATGTGTAAACAGACTGACTGGGCTGACCTGAACTGTCAAGAATTTGCTAGATAGACTGACCTATCAATACAGCAATCAGTAATGTTTTCCATACTATTGTTACTAGTATTTCTGATCAGTTTAGAACATTATGTCATGCCTAAAGGCATCAGGATGCTATTGTACTAAGTTTATCTGGAAACTTAACACTCTGTATTGGTGTACATGTGTGTCTAACTCTGTGCAGTATGTCTACATGTTTGTATGTCTATGGTTTTTATAAGTATTTGTAGTTTGTTTAGCTTTTTATTAGAGTAAGCAAAGTATGTAAATAAATTAATTTTCATTTTTTAACTACCCAGAGAACTTTGACTGTTGGACCGTATAGAAATAGAATGAATGTGTGCATACATTTTACTTGCAAAGGAGGACACCTGTGTTGTTTTTAGGACGATTTTGCAGAATTGCCTCCTGCCATTAGGCAGCAAAGTATCTGAAGATGCAGGTTACAAGTATGTTGTGGGGAGGGGGGTCTCCTTGGACAGGTGTCCTAACAAAAGGGTGCAGTACTGAACCTTTGCACTTTCAAAAGCAGGAACGATTCCTTTACAAAGTCTCCTAGGGCAGGGTAGGGCAGGTGGAGATGGAGAAATGCTGAAGGCAAACAGAGAACTTCTGTTTCACTCATTCTTCTGGTTATCAGCTCCCTTATGAACACACCAAGGGCAAGGCAAAGGCAAAGGCAAGGGCAAGGGCAAGGGCAAGGGCAAGGGCAAGGGCAAGGGCAAGGCAGGTAGAAACAACCATGTCCTGATGGCAGACAGAATCTCCTGCTTTTCAACACCTTCCTACCTTTTACCTGATGGTAAGTGACCGCAGGTACCATTTTTGACATGGGGGTCCATTGCATTGCCACAGGCGCTGTCCCATGCTAAAAATGAGCGGGTTTCTCTTCAGTGATAGTCCTACTTAGATTATACTCATTGAAACAAATGGACAAGATAGGCAAACTTTGAAGACCATTGTATTGTTGGTCATACTCTACATGCAGCTGGTTCACATGCTACCTACCAGCCACCCTGCAAAATTAATTGGTGAAAGCATGACCTAGTGGCCACACTGCAGAATAGCACATGTGGCAGCCTCCTAGAACAATCCCAAGATGTTCCAGAGCCATAAGAACATAAGATAGGCCATGCTGGATCAGAACAAAGGTCCATCTTGTCTATACACAGCGGAAAACCAGCTGGCCACAGGATCCCTCCTGCAGGAAGGGTGCACGACCTCCTCCTGCCCAAGCTCCTCAGCAACTGGGGTATGCAGACATGCCAGCTCTGATAAAGGAGGCAGCACATAGCCAACAAGGCTGGCAGCCACTGAGAGCCTCTTCCTCCATGGATCTGTCCAATCTCTTTTTAAAGCCATCCAATTTGGTGACTGTCCCACTTCCCATAGCAGCAAATTCCATAGTTTAACTATATGTTGATTAGCATAGCTTAACTATATGCTGAAGCAGCTTTGAATGCCAACCTCCCAGCACTTTGGACTCCATTCTTAGCCTATTTTCATCTCCATATCACATGTATGCAACTCCTTGGACCTTTCTACTTGACCTAGGCACTTTCTAGCACAAGCAAGGGACTGACTTGTTATGTAAAAGGTATCACAACTAGCTCAGGTTTTTGAAAAATCAGTCAAAACTGGTTGGAAGGTTTGGTTTGGGAACAGCTGTTATGCAAGCTTTCTTGGAGGCTCCTGCCAAATCAAAGGTTAATAAACAAATAACCAAGACAAATCTAAAGTGTCATACCAAAGATGCTTTTATTCAGGTTCATTAAAGTGGAGAAGTACATAGTTCACAATTTGATCCTCTTAAATGTTACTGAACAATCATTTTTTATCAGTTAAGAACAACATTATTTTCAAGAAGTGATCTCAGATTCTTAAGATATCTTGCCAATGCAAGGTGAAAGAGCTTATATAAAATGTACAGCACGTATCCAAGAGGAGTGAAGGTATGTGCAAATATTATTTTATTCCTTTGTGACTAGCAAGCACTAATATCAACCATGCATTGAACTGTGTAATGTGTACTTGGCAATCCCCATACCTTGAGGTGTACACAGTCATGACGCAAATATTATGGCTAGCCAAAACAGACTACAAACCTTTATGTATTTACTTAGGCATACCTGTGAATAGGATTAGCTGCTAAGAGCTTTTTTAATGAGGTTGCTAAACTGCTATTATCTGGTTTCAGCTTTGTTGCAGAACTGAGATCTGAGCACAAATGAGGAGCATTTCCTTTTCTGCTACATAACCCCTAGTGATGGTGTGGTATAGTAACATAGCACCTGCATCCCTAACAGAGCACACACATGTTCAAATAGCATCTTTCATTTTCACAATGAAATGCTGCATTTTCTCTCCTCTAAGAAACCTTGCCAAATGTCCTTCTTAGACACAGAAATGGAATGGCTACAAAATTGGGTGGATTCACACATCACCACAACCCATTATTGTAAATTGCCCCAATGGGTTGCCCCAAGTTCCATGCAGCCACAACTCATAAGCAGCCACAACTTAGTCAGTGCTCTGGCAAGAGAGGCTGAAGTATTCTGAGCAGAGAGCAGCTTCGAGGCTGGGTGCCCTCATACCCTGAGGGAGCAGAGGAACAGCCAGGCCAGGCTAAAAATCCAGAAGGGACGAGCAAGCAGCAAGCTGCCCAGATGGGAAACTGCAGAAGGGTTTTGAAAGGGCAAAAGACGAGGCAGGCAGATGAAACCTGCTTGAGTGCTTTGGGGCACTCAAGCCAGATTTGAGCTGTTGCTCCACAAAGGCATCCAGGATCCATCATTACCCTTAGAGAAAGTGATCTTCCTTGTTGTAACAGATGCACCCCCACCTTTTTTTTAGCCACAGGGTTGCTTCCCAGCTCTGTGGTGTAGGAAGACATCCCGTCCAGTTTCAAGGTAGGAACACTGAGAGTTCTGACCATGGTCAAGTTTGGCCTTGCTGTTTGGAGCACCTTAAAATTTTATCCGAGGGAAGTCCCTCCTCATGCCCCTTTTCTTTAATACTGGTTTACTCAAAGTCTCTTGCATGTGCAAACAAGCCAGTGGCGGGAGCAAGAAGCAGCTGGGCACAGTGCTCAGTCGGGGGCTGCATGCCACACCTGGTTCTCCCACCACTCCCTTTTCTCATCTGGGGGGGGGGACCAGGGCTGCCTCCCCCTCATCACTGCTACCCAGCTGCTTCTCGGCCCTGCTGCAGGCTCGTTCGTGCAGCTTGCAAGCACAGCTCCCAACCAGGCACTCTTGCCAGCTGCTTCTCACCCAGCTGCACAAACAAGAGGGGCAGCACGGGGGATTGCTGCTGCATGCGCCCCCCACTCAGCACCTCCGCTCAGCAGGTTCTCCTGCTCATGTAGGAGTGACAGCGGGGGAATTGACTGGGCAGTGCCACTCTTCCCATCGCGCCAGACAGGTGCGCCTCTGGGACTTGTGCCAAAGGGCAGCGGTCAGTGGCACCCTTTGCTCCATGATTCAGGACTCAGTACCATACCAAGCTGTGCATTCCGGTTCAGATGATCCAGCAGACCAAAACTACCATCGCTTATTGGGTTGTACACACCCACTCCTCTGCATTGGAGAAAGGCAGAAGCAGTTGTGATTTTATTTTAGTGCATTACGTGATGAAAGTCACCTTGAGGATATAAATCAAATGCATAAATTAGCGAGCAAGAGAGTATGGGAAGGAATTTGGGGCAGAGCTTGTCATTCCCTGAGCTGCATTACACTGTTTTATTTCCACTACTTAATGGCCATCTTGTAAAAATGCAGGAGAAAGTAGTGTGAGTAAAGGCAAATGCAATGTACAGAGGTCCTCAGGTTGCTGAAACTACCACACAGCTCTCCTGCCTGCTCTTTAAAGCTTTAATGGAAGCTGCCCCGAAAAGAAATACTTTCTGATTGGTATTCTATGATTTCAAAGTCCCTGCAGAATCACATGAATCTAAGCTCTCCTTTCTCTCAGCAAAACCTGCCCTTTCAGATTCACAGTATTTTCTTCAAGCAAAGGTGTATCCCATTGTGAGAGCGCAGGACAAGCTGAGGGATGGGGACGGGTGGGGGCTTAGAAGGATCAGGCAAAAGCTCAAATCGACGCAGAGTCAAGGCAAGGGCCACTTTCAACTCGTTCATGGCAAACTGCTGTCCGATGCAGTTCCTGAAAGGAGAAAGGGGGCTGGTCATTCAAGGCAACCAGAATCACTTGCTTGGAGAATCACTCTCAGCCCCTTAAGCTCCCATTGCATCTGCTTCCACCATCATGAGCAGTCTTTCGAGATTACTCCTCAATTTTCCCTAGATATATCCACTACAGTATTGTTAATATTACTTGGAATACAACCCTAACTCCATAGACTTTTGTTTTTTATGTTTTACTGTATTTTACTGTTGTTTTTAATATATAAAATTATATTATATATAATATATAAAATGTTATTGTTTTTATTATGTTTTATTGTGTTTTTATCTTGTGTTGTGAGCTGCCCAGATGAGCTATGGCACAATTGGGTGGCATACAATTTTTTTCAATCAATCAATCAATCAATCAATCAATCAATCAATCCAGCTTTATAGTACTTAGAATTAAATGCCTCCCAAACCATTCTGTACCCATTTTTACAGTAGATCCTGCTTAATAAATATTTATTCTTAGAAACAATCCTTCCTTCCTTTGAGTGAAAAATATGAAGTTTTTCTTTTTTATTATTATAAATCCTTTCTTGACTCAATTATAGGAATTTAGGCAATCTGTATTTTGCCCTCATGATCTGAGCCAGTCCGGACTATTTCAAAATCTTTGTTAACATGGTATATTGGTTGGTCCCAAAGGTCACAAAAGTTGGCAAGCTTTCAGGGGCAGCAGAAGACATGAGGCAGATGATGTTGAAATCATTGATTTTGACAGTTTGATTTTCCACCGGAGGGATTTAGGGTTGCTCACTCATGGAAACCTTTGGACTCTATATGGCATTGTCATCATCCAGGGCTGCTCCTGCATTTACAAAACTTTTCCATTAGTCATCATATGGCCAGCACTGGATACAAAGCCATGACTCTAAGTGCCAAATTCCATTTCAGAGGTGCTGACAGTGCTGGGTGAAGTCCAAGGCAAAAGGAACGGCTAACATACAGAAAATGGAAGCCTAGTTTCTCTTAAAAGTCTTACTTCCAGGAACTAAGCCTCAGGTAACACATTTCAGTCTTTAGCATGCAGGAGGGAAAGGTATAAAAGCTAAAAAGGTACTTTGGACACCCAAAGTACCTCTGCAAAAGCTCTTGGCTCAGTGAAAGCTCTTTTAACTCATGCTTGCGTATTAGGAAAAATTGAATGGATGACCTGGCTTTACTTGTCCATACACATCAGCCATGCTTCCTTTGTTTTGTCTCTGACTTGGCAAGGTCAGGACATTCATATCTAGACAAAGATAATCTTGGCCAATCAACTGTTCTAATTTACTTCTATACTATATAAACTTCACCTTGGTCCAGCAGAGAAAGGCAGGAAGGCATGAGAGTTTCTGCTGGATATCTTCTCAGGGGTAAACCTCTGAGGATCAAAGACCTAGAATAAAAGGATTGTTTAATTATTTTTAAAACATACTTGGCCAAAAGTATAATAGTAAAGAGATACAGAGGTATTCTGTTTCTTCAGCTACTTTACGGTCTTTTTGAAACTGCCAATTGATTTTGATATTTATCTTAAATGCTATAAAAACAGCCAACTGTGTTAATCATTTATCACTTTTCTTATTCCTGAATCTGCCTTATACCAAGTAGCACATTAGCCTATCTCAGTATTATCAACACAGACTTTTCCAAGTAGGCGCCTTCCAGATGTGTTGGACTTCGCTGTCCATTATTCACAACCATGTTGCCAGCTGCTCATGACTGAGAGTGTGAGTCCAACACATTTGCAGCTTGAGGAGGGCTGCTTCAGAGCAACTGACAGTGGCCCTCCAGGGTTTTGGACAAGAGTCCTTTCCAGCCCTACTTGGGGATGCTCGGCATCAAATTCAGTTTTTCTTGTGTGTAAGGCATGTGCTGTTCCACTGAGCTGTGGCTCTTCCCAAAATACATGGGGTTGCCCTTGAAGATGGTCCAGATACTTCAACTGGTTCCAAACAGAGCTGCCAGGATAGTAACAGGGACCAGCAGGTATTCACATATAATGCAGATCCTCTTATCACCTACACTGGCTACCAACTGAAATCCAGGCCCAATTTAAGGTGCTGGTGATGACCTATAAAGCCCTAAATGGCTTGGGTCCTGGATAACTGAAGGAATGCCTTCTCCCCTATGTGCCCTTCTGCCCCTTGAGATCTGAGGCAGAGGCCCTCCTCCAGGAGCCAACCTTGAAAGAAATCAAGAGGGTGACTACCCAGAGGAGCGCTTTCTCTGTGGTGGCACCCCGATTGCGGAACATGCTCCCCAGAGATGTTTGCTTGGTGCCAATGCTTCTTTCCTTTTGGTGTCAGGTGAAAAGCTTTTTATTCTCCCAGTATTTTAATTGTTAAACTGCTTTAATTAGTGGTTTTATTTTAACATCAGATGCTGTGCAACTGTTACTCTTATTTCTATTTTATTGTATTAACTTGTTGTAAACTGTCCCCAGACATCTGTGATGGGACAGTATGGAAAATTTTTAAATAAATAAATAAAATTTTAAAAATAGAACAGCACTATTGTGATTTTCATTGCAGACAGTAATGCAGAATTGAATAATTTGTTTAAAGCTGTCCTAGCCCACTTAATACTTTGCAAAAAAAAAATCTTGTTTTTAAAATAATTTTTATCAACAAACAAAATGAAAGCAAACAGACGCCAAACATGAAATAACCTATCAACCATGGCATAGAACAATACAGGTATATTAAATGGTAGCAGTACACTTTCTCTGGAGTGTCTACCAGTCTTGATTTAGCTAGGGAATATTGAGTACGTCTTTCCAGATGTGATTGCGAGCTCACCCACCGCTCCCAACATTCTGGTGGCTAAAGAAACCCAAGGTTGCCAGCACACCTAGAAATAATTGTAGGTGGCCTTCTTGCAGACAACCCTGAGCATTTTGCTTAATTTTCCTAGTAAGACAATATCCCAAATTCCCCTTTGCCAACTTTCAGTTGATGGTTCATAAGTAGATTTCCAGACTGATGTAATTTCCATTCTTCCTGTAGTCCAGAAGAATGTTAATCAATCCTTATGCAGTGTTTTTTCACCCATAGAGAGTACTGTTCTTAATAGATGTTCTAATCTGTAACTTTTGTTGCCATCTGAAAAATCCTGTGAGTAAAGGCAAATGCAATGTATGTTTAAGTGTCCTTCTGAGCAAAGCCTCTCCAGCAAGGGAGCTGCTCTCCTTATAAAAAAAAAAGCTGATATTTACTGGTCTGAGATTCCACCTACATATTGTTTTCATGGAATGTTCCCTCAGCTAAGATAAAATTGATTTGTAAGGGAATGTAGCCCTCAATGAATTTCACTAACCATCTTCACTGGTGATATTTAAATACATCTGCCTTACACCATTTGTGTTTCCCATTGATATTTCTATAGCCATATTGTATATTTGTGACATAATACCTTTTGCCTTAATATCTCTCAGTAAGAGTTTAAACTTGGTTAGAAGTTTTTTTGTGAGCCGCCCCGAGGCTTTGTTGCAATGGGGGTGGCATAGAAATGTTTTAAATAAATAAACAAATAAATACCACTGGTCTTTTCAGGAATCAAGGTAAAATATGTAATGTGAACTGACTGGGAACAGTTAGCTTTGATTTCCCACAATCGTACTTTTAATTGAGATCCACTTTCTGGTTCTGTGTCATTAAACAGATATTTCACTGTGTGCAACTCCTGTAATTCCTTGTTTTGCTCTATATTGAGTTCTACCTTTTTCCCCGCACTGAAATTTCAGGATCTGGGGCTCCCTCTCATGGCCACCACAGAATGTGCAGGATTGGGCCTAAGCCCAGCTGCAGCTTTCAGCCTCCTGGTGAGCACCATCTGGGAGACCTGGAGGAAGAGCTATGGAAGAGCAAGCTCTCCTTGCACCTGCTGCTTCAGCACACGGATTGTGCTCGCCATAGCATGTCTCGGCTCCTGCGTCTTGCCTGACCCTTGCCTGATCCAGTTCCCACTTTGCCTCACTGGCTGCATCTCCTGCCTAGGTTACTCCGCAGCAGACACCTGCCCTCTGTCCTGATTGCAGCCGTGCTCCCTGCCCTGCCGCGCACCCTGTTCCCTTTCCCCTTTGCCAAGTCTCCTGCTGCCACACTCTGGACCTTGACGTGATCAGGGCTCAAAGGCCCCAAAACACTTGGACTGGGCCCTTTCAATACTGAAGCTGACACCCCATCTTGATCCTCCCAGTAAGACTTCTTTAACTGCCTCATTAGTGAACCATGCAGCGATAACTCTTGGCATGCTCCTGTTGCCAGTTTAACTCACAGAAATCTGTGAGCTTCCGCTTCATCCCTTATTTCTACATTTACTTTGGGGGAAGTTTTGCTGGCCAGATTGCTTAGAATCCCACCACAGCTTGGCTTTTGACAGATTCCCAGATCCCTCAGAAGTGTCCTGTGACTTTCCAGGTGCTCCACTTTTCCCTACAATTCAGTATTAGGGAATAATAGCTTTACACTTGGTTATTGTTGTTGTTGTTGTTGTTTTGCTAGACCTAAGCCCAGAGCTGCACTTGCTGGTTTTCCAACCTCTTTCAATGGTTAGAGACCTCATTTATTTGCATTGCCCTGATCTTATAGTAGTAGGCCATCCTTTCCTCAGTCCTCTTTATTGTTCTGCATTGTCTGCAACTGGGACCTCATGATTAAGCCCTATTATTGGACAGCTGGCTTCCTCAGATCCGGCGCTTTCTAAAGATAACCTATTTTTCACCTCCACGGGTGACAGAAAGGCTCCCTGGCATTCCAGCAAACGTCACCTAGTCTTCTTGTTACTCAAACATTAATTTTGTTCAGCTATTGTGCTAGAATAAATTATATTGTGCACCAGAGGATCAAAATATGGGGTTAAGCTGCCATATCAGTATTAAGATATAATCTCTCCTCTTCCCTTGCAAAAACCTGAACTGGGTATTGCTTGACAATGATGGTCTTTCAGCCTCCCCTTTTAACTTTTATGGGGAAGTGTTTGCAGAATTTCTAAGTGCCATCTAGATTTTGGAAGGTGGCATCCTGAATGGTCACATGGCAATGTGCATTAATAGCCAGCAATGACTTGGCTCTTGCAAACAGAAAGTACGCTGCTATCTTATGAGACAGTAGTTAGAATGTCAAAATATCATACCTTTGGATTTTCCCATATGCTTGGATTCCTGTGCATGAGAAAAATACTCACTGCAACCCAAAAACCTGAAAGGCAATCAGTGAGGACAAAGAGTAAGTGGTGTGCCTTGATTTGTCACCAACAGCTGCCAAAGACCTAGGCTCTCAGGACTTGGTCCAATCACATAAGGAGACCAAGACTTGGGCTAAAGCTGCAGTCCTGCATATACATACGTGCAACTTAGCCTCCCTAAATGCAGTAAGACTAATTGTTGTACAAATACGCATAGGATTGCACTGTAAGAGAGGCTTGAAATATCTGAGTTCCAGTTTCTTGACCTTGAATAACTGAATGACCTTGAACGAACTTCCTGAACGAATGGAGCAAAGGGTTTTTGCCGCAATCCATGAGTTACGTCCCTTGCAGTAGACTTAGTTGTATCCATAGAACCACTGCAGGGTTAGCAGGAACACAAGGCGTGCCTTGCTGGAGCAGACCAAAAGCGTAGCTGGTCAGACATTCTATTCCCACTGTGACCTTCCAGGAGCACCAGTAGGAAGCCCCCACCAGACATGACTGTGAGAGTATTTATTTATTTAAAACTTTTACATCCTGTCCTACATGAGAAAAACGTCCCAGGACAGCTTACAAAATTATAATTACCCTTCACATGAGTTCCCCAGCAACTGGTATTAAGAGGCATACTGCCGCTAAGACAGCCGACATGTCTAGTAGCCATTTGCAGACAAGTAGACAAACAGAAACACATCCCAACACAGAAGCAAGAAACAATAAAACAATAAGGAAACCTTTGAAGACGAAAAATATTCCAAAAGGCTATAATGTTACATTATAGCTATAATGTAGCTATGGCTATAATGTGACACTGGCTACAAATGCAGTCATCAAGCTATAGATGAGAGAGAAATCAGGTTGCACAATCATATTATTCAAGTACCAGAAATTCCCAAACATATTTTGACCATAGGTCTTCTTCAGGGGTCTAACATGTAAAATGATATCTGAAAAGCAATATAGAAAAACTTGCACACGCGCGCACACACACACACACAATTCAAGCTTCTCTGACAATATAGAACCCTGCAGTATCTCCACCTGCAATTATATAAAAAAGTAATCTTTAAAAACCTGCTTCCCAAAACTTGCAACATTTTCCACTGAATGTCCAAGAAATTCTTGAACATGGGACTGTACACTAATTGTGCCCAAAAGATGAAATTGTGATTATTATCTTGTAAGCTAGGCTTATAAATTGATACCTCTCCGTCATTGCTGCTTCCTACAAGAACTGTTGCAGCCAAAGTTTTCCTCCACCGTCTCATTATCTCCTGGCATTTAAATCTTGGGGAGCAGAAGCTATGCATGTGCCTCACTTTAGGAGATAGAAAAACTTTATTTTTGTATTTTATTGTATTTTATTTTATGCTGTGAGCCGCCCCAAGGCTTCGGCAAGGGGCGGCATAGAAATGTTTTAATTAATTAATTAATTAATTAAGTTTAGGAACTCCTCTATGAGGGATTTTTAAAAACAATGTTAACAGTATACCAGCTGATGAAGACAGCTCAAAAACTTGCACATTTTTGTATGACCCTGATTTGTTCTGACGTAATACTCTTATCTTGAATTATGATTTTTTTTTGATATGGCCAAAAAAGCTCTTTGCTTTTTCTCCCCAGTGTATTAATAGCTGTAAAAACTCTAGGTAATTGCAATAACTGGCAAAATGAGCCAACCAATACCTCACTGGAAGATATGCTGATCACTTGAGTGCCTGCAGCTATTTTTCTCTCCTTTCCCCCTTTTTCTTTAAATCTCTTATATCTTTTTATATATTTCCAGCCTGACTGTCCTTTAGAGCAACAGTACTCTCACTCATCAGAAGGAGGGGTCCACCACCTTCTTTAGGCTAAATCTCACCATTTTTATTAGCAATTTACATTTCCCCCATCTGTACCAAGAAAATCTGAAACTTCTGGAAAAGTATATTTGAGTGAAGAAAATATATTCCCTCATTCACAGTGGGAACATGCAAAATGAGACGGTCTTGAATGTTTGTCTGGAAATAAGTTGAATTCCATGGTGTTCTGGATTAAAGTTTTAATGGCCACTTGCTCTCCATCTTACCAAGGCACGGAAGGCACAGGCCTGCTGTGACCTATTTGCTGAGCACAGAAGAGAGACTCAGATGCCCCTAATTTTGCTGTTTGGTGAGTAGGTGTGCTCCGATCACCATTTCATCAGATGCTGAATGAGTGGCAATTACTGACCTGATGGACAAGATGCTTGGGGGAATGTGCATCTGAATGACAGTTGCTCAATCTTTGCCCATCTTGGCTTATAACCCCTTGTCAAGGAAGGGATGAGTGGCTAGCTAATATCTCCTTGTGAATAGGTTGATCTTGACTATCAAGAGACAGTCTTCTGCCACCAGGAGTTTAATTCCAGTCTTATTAACTTCTCCCACTGTTTTGTGCCCACATTGGACTATGTAGTCCTGAGGATGAGACACTAATATTCAAACAGCCTATGGCTCTGGATTAACAATAAACAAAATAAAATTTGTACAAGCAGCGTATTGCTTTCAAGATGTTCTGTAACGTATTTCCTTAAGTGTATATTAACTTCTGACCGAGGTATAGCACTCGTTCCCTTCACAAACACTCTTTGCTCTCAATTCCTCCTCTCCCTTCTGAATGTACTTTGACCACTTTATACTGTTTATCTCAGTTTACTCTTTCTCTCACACACACCCTCATAATGCTTGACAGTATTAGATCTTGACTCTCCCCAGTCACTAATGTCCTCTGAGTGTTTTACTTCCTTCCCTTTTCTTCTGAATCTTAAATGTCTTTCACAGCACTAAAGGGATCCTAACAACTGCCACTTCAGATTCTGCAGACCACTGACTGACTACAACTGCCTACTAACTGCTGACAGACCGACAGTATCTATTTCATTCTCCTCACACACTTCCACACTCCGTCCATGCACTCTCAGTCTCCAACCAGTCACCTCACTCACTCAGAACCCTCTTTTACCCCTTTGCTCTTCTGAAACTCACCGCCATTTAAAAGAACACGCTCATAACACTTCAAATCATTACAGTTGCTGACTACCCTATTTACATAGCTTTATATGCAATTTCTTTTCAATTTTTTAGTGACTCCCCAGGGTATGGTAGAACTGAACGGGAAGGAATAACCCTGCTTAAAATAAATAATACAGTAATTGCAGGCATTTACACACGTGTGAGTTCTAATAAATGATGTGTTTCATCTCTGTCTAAACAGACGTACTGTCTTACGAGGGTAGAATGGAATGAAGCAAACCTTCAGGTAAAGTCCGTCCATCAAAAAAGGTAATAGGTTTGCTGAGCACTCGGGCCACGCCTGGTACTGGAGGGTAAAGGCGGAGGCTCTCTTTAATGCATAACGTGCAGTACGTCATCTTGTTAAGATCGTCCCTGGAAAAATTAAATACAGAGTGAGCCAATAAGAGGAGACATTTCCACAAAGCCTGCCCAGATCATGGGCTGGCTGCATGTACCTCAGACAGGCTAATCTTTTAGTCCCACAATGCACCAGTATAATATAGTTGAAGTCCCATACTCCCCAAAGAGCAAGAACACAATCACTGCAGTAGACCCTAAACTAATATAACATCATCAAAAGCCACTCATTCACCACCCACAAATCACATCACTCACGGCCTTAACCCATTCATGGAAAGAACTACTTGATGCCAGTACTTCTGGCAGAAATAGATGATCATAAAACCGTAACTGCTGCAGAACACTAGGCACTAATCAACAGCAAAATATACAACACTCACTTCCCAATGCAAAGTTTCCAGAGTTCTCATAGATAGGAGTCATTTGCTTGATGTTATATACTTGGATTTCCAAAAACTCCAGAGTAAAGATAACCGTCATGGAATGATAAGCAGATAATTTCATGGATTAGCTACCAATTAAAATGGCCACGCTAGCCACAATGGCTATGTACCATAAGCTCTTAAATATTGCTTTGCTGTGATACAAAATGGCTAGAAGAAGCCTGTGACTGGATTGGCGCAATATGACAATCCAGCATGAGCAGCCTGCCATGGTGAGTTGTTGTGCCATCTGAAGCTCAAACACTTTCCATGGGTAGCTTATTTTGTGGGGCAAAGCCACACAGAAAAGCCACAGCTTGGTGGGGCTGTGGTGTTATGCGAACCAAGGAGACCGATTTTGTTAGTTGCCACTGTCAGCTGCCCTGACACTCCTTGCCCTTGTCTATAATTGTTCACTGCCGCAAAAAGGCACACCTGCATTGTAAATTGTCATCGTCATCCTTGGACAGGCGCACACTCACAGCTATCAAGTCTGGGTATTAACAAGATGGAGTTGCCTGCTCATCAGTCTGCACACGGTTGCAAAGGACCAGGGGACAAATAACAATAGAAGGATGGACAATGCCAGCAGCACAAGTCAGCAGTGCTGAAAAGGTGGGAAGGGGGATAGGCCACCCAATGGGCGGGTGGGCAGCAGAGGGGCAATGGGGAGCAGTGCCAGCAGAGGACCCTGGTAAAGGGCAGCAACAGGTAATTCTCATAGAAAACCTCTTTGAGGTCAAAGATCAGCCAAGCGCTCGTGAAGGTGACATCAGGCATGCCCTGGTGGCTTGAGATGGGCCAGTGTGTGTCTCCTCCTAGCACAGTGTTGTCCCTCAGCAAGCCCTTGTTTCCTTGAGAAAACGTATGCTTTCTGCTACAGTCACACCATGATAGAGAAATGATTCATGGACGCTCACCACTGGATGGTGTCACAGTCTCCTAAAATGCCTTTTATCTCTTCCCTGCATTTCTGCTGATGCTCCGGGTTCTGTGCAAGGCAATAGAACAGCCAGGAGATCCCACTGGCCGTAGTGTCATGACCTTCAAACATGAAAGTGTCCACCTCAGCACGAAGGTCTTCATCAGATAGACCAACTCCATTTTCATCCTAAACATACATAAACTTCACTAGTCATAAGATTTTATCTCATAAGCCATTGTTCTGTGATCTGGTTCACACATTCAAAATTGCTCACTGTGAGCTGTTTAAGACACAGAGACCCATGGGGTTTGCCAGCCAGCATTCTGAATACCCAAGTCCTTCCTGGGTATTGCCATGTCATCTGACCCCAGCCACCATAGGTTATGCAATGTTTAAACAACCCTCACATAAGCCATGGTCTGTTGGAGGGTTATGTGAGGCTGTTAAACATAACATAACTGACAGTGGCTGGGTTCAGACAATATAACTACCCTCAAGCAGAGTTTGCATCTCCAAATGTCAGCTAGCCATGGCTCACTGTGACCTAAACAACCCACAATGGGCTGTTCTGATTGTGAAAACTGGTCCTGAACCTCACTGCCGCATCGCACAATCATACTGAAGCAAGTATCAGCATCACTGCATGATCAACACTCTTTTGCCCTGGCTGCAACAGAATGGGATGCTGATTCTTATCGTGAAGGTTCCTCCACAGAAGGTTCCGCACATGGAAGCACCCAGCAGTGGATTATCTCGTCTTCTAGCACTGCTCCGTGCCTTCTGTGCCAAACAAGAGAACACAGAACTAGAGCAACTTGAATAGAAAACCCCTTTGATGTGAAACCATAACATAAACATGTTATCATTTTATCTTCCTTGGTGATAAAGGGAAGCCAGTACTAATGTTGTCTCTCTCCCCTTCCAAAAAATTAGTAAGTGAGCTGTTTTTCTCCATCACTTGGAGCTTCCGGACACTCAAGGGAAACCTCAAAGATGGTAATCCAGACTTGAAATTACAGAAATATGAATTAAAGTGGGAAGGTCCTTACTTGATTTAGGAAGGGCAACGGGTCATTTCGAAATCATTGTCACAATCAGCATAATAGATTTAGTCATGGAATTAGTCTCTTACTTTGTGCCAAATACTTACTCTGGCACAGAGAAGGATGTCAAGAAAATCCAGCTGACGTTTCTTCTGAATCTTCTGGAGTTCTTCTTCATTCTGCAGAGATTTCTTCCTCTCTTTAATTATCATATCTGGCATAAGAGTTACACATAAATTAGCACCAAATTAATAGGTACTGTATTTTGCAGGACAATATAAAACATATGAGATGTTGTAGGATAAACTGTATCAGAAAGGATTCATACATAAAATCATTATGACATTTTATAACATTTTGTTAGGTGACTATCAGCAACAATCACTCACACTGGTTCCATAAAAAGTTGAACTTTGGATCTGTATAAATTAAGGATATCCAGCAGACAAAAATATACTTGCTTTGTATGACTTATAAACACATTTTAATATCTATTTTCTGCACTATGGTACTTCTTGAATGCCATGTAGATTATTACATTTAACATTTCTGCATTATTATGAATAATGTCTTCATTATTTCCACTGTTCTTTTGAATGCCCTGTCACAATTGAAGTTCTGAGGAAGTACTTTTTAAAGTACAAGAATATGTAACTGTAATCTCCAAAAAGATTGTTTTGTCAGTATGTTTCAAGCAATATATTTGTGCTAGGAATGACTCTATGTCTAGTTTGCATCAGTTTCTATGAATGTTCAGTCTTAAATTCCAATTTTCAACCAATTAACTTCCAGTTTTCAACAAATAAATACAAATGCACAAAAATGTGCATTCACATTGTACCCATTTCCCACCCAAAATAGATGTTTTTGAATGTTTCAGGATAGAGTGAAGTCCAGTAGATAACTGCATTTCAGCCTTTATATAAATCCTGGATTTAAAGCAAAATAATTTTGCTTTAAAAGAAAACTGAACAAAATTCTCTTACATTCCTCATTTGTACCCTTTAATTCTCCTTCACGTGCAGGTCTGGAATTTTGCCTCATTTTTGTTTGCTGGCCATGTTTATTCCTACCTTTCCATTTTCCTAAAAAGGGTGTGGCCAGTTTTTCCAAGTTGATAGCAGCCCAGCATTCGTGAATCCAGTGGTGGAGACCTTGTCCACCAGCAGTAGCAAGTTTAACTCTTGATGTGGGGTGTCTGCAGTTGTAGGCCATAAGATCTGGAGATCTACAAGTTACCCGTCCTGGCTTAAAATGATTACCAGAACTCAAAATCTAAGGCCAAATAGATAAAGAATGTGGAAAAGTACCTGTGTGAAGGTGGGCAACATTGCAGGCTTTCCGAAACCGATATCCATGTGGGCTGAAGTGGTAAGTGATGTCATTGTAGCCCAGGATGTACAACAATCGAGCATGTAACAGGGAGCAAAGTTCAAATACGGCTTGGACATAAGAATTCTCCCTAAGAGTCAAATAAGATCTTACTTGTGAGCATTGTCCTAAAGAAGCATCAAGGCTGCAACTTATCCAAGAATAAGCCCCATTGAACTCATACATTTTACATCTAATTAGACATGCATGGGATTGCAGTATAAAGCATCAGTGGGAGTAGCTATCTTCCACTGAAGCACAGGAACAGATGAATATGTTAAAATGTTTTTGAAAAGTTGCTCTGACTTGCTAATACTATAAACCAGTCTTCTCCGATCTGGTGACCTTCAGGGGCATTTGGACCATAACTCCCAGAATTCCCATCCAGCAGGGCCTTTGACTGAGAATCCTGGGTGCTACAGTCCAAACATGCCTGGAAGGCACAAGATTGGGGAAGACTGCATAAACGTAGATAGATTTTACTACCATCTTACCATCAACTCTTAGGATTGCTTTATTTTTATTTCTGGATGAAATATCAATATGTTAATCAACTTTTTTCAGATGTTTGACTGTGCTGACATGATATTCATGTCAGTGAGGCAAATTCAAATTATTTTAGGCAATTATTGAGGTTTTTGATGTTATCTGGGAATTTAAAGGAGAGCCAGTGTGGTGTAGTGGTTAAGAGCATGGGACTGGGACTCAGACAATCTGGGTTCTAGTTCCCGCTCAGCCATGGAGCCAACTGGGTGACTTTGGGCCAGTCACAGACTCTCAGCCCAACCTACCTCACAGGGCTGTTGTTGTGGGGATAACATGGAGGAGGAGAGATGATGTAAGCTGCCTTGAGCCCTTTGTAGGAAAAAGGCAGGATATAAATCACAATATAAATAAATAAATAAAAATAAATTAACAGAAAGAAGTTATCAGCTATGTAGTTCTGAACAGTGTACTGTCGTGTGGATTGCGGAACATAAATTCAGGATAACCAGTTGGAACTCTTTACATCACTGCTTAGTTCATTACCAGCCAGTAAGAGGGGTTCTTCTCTTAAGAGTCAAAGGTGTACCAATACTCACCTGTCCATCTGACAGTTGCTGTTATAACTGAAGGCACATTTCATGATGCTGTCAAGCGTCATCAAGCTCACATGTCCAAAGAGCTCTACAGATTTATCCTTGGTGATCAGCTGTTCCCATTTATCCTAAGTCAACAGATGGGAAACAATCCAAGGCTTTGGTGTTTTGAAAAAGCCACTGGGGGTAGAAAGTCAGTGCCACTCTGCTGATAGCTTTGCTATGATTGCCTTTCCCAGTACTGCATGACAGAATCTGATTACTTATCCCATGTTCCATAATGCATTTGGATGGTCCACCTTTATTTACATATGAGTGGTATGAACTAATGCATAGTAAGCTGTGTGGGTACATATATATTCCAGAGTCCTAAAAATCATTCTGTCCCAGATGATAGGATAAGGTCTTAGCAATTGTTCCAGGGCTGTGGAATTGTACCTCATTTTGTTTACCTACCTGCCGATTTTCTAATTGAAGACATTGTTTTAAAAATTCAGAAAGATATTGTGAAATATAATACTATATCTGCCAGTTAAATAATCACTGAACAACAACTACAGCACAGCTACAAAGCCAATGGGAGAACGTAACTCCTATGAAAACACATACCAACATCACATTTGTAGACTCTGCCATCAGGGTTATGTATGGCTTCAATATGGTATAATGAAAACCTGGAGTCAGCAGCTTTCGATGCTGGAACCACTTTGGTCCATGTAGGACCAGCAAACCTTTACCTGGGGGCAAGAAAAGACATCTCCTGTCACTTAAATGCTATTCATACAACACAATTTTCTATAGTCATCAGAGTTTTCTGAAGCAAAATTAATCTAGTTCATCTCATCCAATTTACTGAAGCTGTAACTACTTGATAGAAGTCCAAAAATGGGTGAAGGGACTGGAAATCCCTGAAACATCAACTTTCACCATGGCTGTTCACCCAGAGAATCTAGACAGCAGTTCTGCTGTGGCCAATAGACACAAATCCAGACACATCAAATCAGTCAGATCTAAGGTTTTTGGTGTAGCAATATCACCAGGCCTTTTCCATTGACTTTTTGTACCCATGGCTTGCTTGTGAGCCAAGTGGCTTGAGCTCTCTTGATGCACATATTCTGGATTTCCTTGCTTTACTTGTTTCTTCTCATCCTTCTGCCCCTCATGAGTTTTAAATACAGCTTGTTGCCTTATTTATTTGATTTATAGCCCATCTTTCCAGTAAAAGTGGTGCACAAATAGCTAATAATATACACATAAAACATGCACATCCAACGTTCATTCTGATACTTCAGTGTTCGAGCGTAATTATTGCATTGCACTGTAATTTCTTGCCCTGTTTGAAAAATAGTAAGCCATCCTGAGATTTTACTTATTTATTTATTTAGAAAATGTCTATGCCGCCCCATTCGCCGAAGCCTCGGGGCGGCTCACAACATAAATCAATTAAAATAATATAAATTACCAATATAAAATAAGATGGCTTAGAAAAGCTTTAAATAAATAAATAGTGTGGGGGTTGAGCTGGGACTCAGACATGAAATGTAGAGTTGTGCCATGACCGTACATATGTCAGATTTCATTCTTGTATCTCAGTGGAAAAAATGCATTGGCTGGGCTCTCATGATGTGGCAACCCATATTGGGGGAAAAGACGTGGTGGGTTGTCATGGTATGTGAACCCCGACCAATCACCACAAGCTGACTTGTTTGAGGGCATGATGGGTTGTTGTTCCTTCCAAATCTGGATGACTGACCCACCCAAGCAAGCCATTTGCCAGCACGCCACTTGGAAAAACAGCAAAACTTCCAGCTGCTTTGGCCAACCTTGCCCTGATTAGAACCAGCCACTCCTTGTGTATCCGGGTAGCACTTCGGGATGACTGGTATTGGTCAAGTGTTTGCCACTGAAATTGTGAGCCATTTTTGGCTTGCCAATGCTTTTTTGTCCCTCTGCCTTTGCCAGATGGCTTTCATTTACTACGTTTTGACAGTTGCTAACGACTCCTTCAAAGTGCCCAAGTAGAACTTTGAGGGAACTGTTCATGGTTACAAACCAATTTTTCACACTTCCTAATATGTATTTACATGCACACACTTCCACAAGTGTGCACCTCCACACTTATGGATATCCAAAAATGGACCGCTTTGTGATTTTTCATTTTCTTTTGGTGGATTCACTGTCCAAAGGTGCACTTAAAGTCTTAAGGACAAGCGGGGGGAAAGTGAGAACACCCTTAGGACAATGGAATCCAGCCGGCCAAATGGATCTTCCAATGAAGAGGACCTAAATCTCATCCAAGTTTTAATTTCTATGCCACCTTTCAGTATAACTTCGTAGGATTGTTTACATAAAAGGAAAAGAATGAAGCCAATGGGTGACCTACCTTTAGCAAAGCCTGTCAGATACAGATTATACATGCCAGTAGACTTATAGACATCTATAATTCTAGTTAGGCTTGTTATTTATGCCCTGTTCTTCACCAGCTTCAAATGTACTTCAACACATATGACTTGACTATACATACCGATCCATGGAATTAAGTTCTGATAAGTAAAATTGTCCTTTGGATCTGTAAAGAATAAATAAACAAGAGAAAAGAAAAATATATCCCTCAGTACTATTTATTCATTTATTTTTAAACTCTATAAAGATTTTTAAACTCTATAAAGATGTTTAAACTCCATAAAGATTTCAGCATACCATTTTGAGTGTCCAGATGTAACAGACCCTAAATCACTTGCAAAGGCTCTGCAGGGCAGTATTGCACTGCCTTGCTTGCCAAAAAGCAGGCACAGTCCTCCATATAAGATTGTGTTCTTGTTATCATCCCAATTGTTTCATTGACTACAGCTTTCTATAGTCAGCTTCAACAGGAGAGCCAGCTATGCCATCTGGAGAATCTTACAGAGCTTTCAAGAAACCCATTATGTCTCCATTTGTCTCCAGGGATGGACCTGAAATCCTCCAAGGCAAGTGTCTAACACCACACCAGAAACCACTGAAGCCGGCTTGGATGGGCAGACTGATAGCAGGATGCGAACAGGCTTTTCCAGCCATATCCTTTCTGTTCTTATGCACAAACAAATCTCCAGGTGAGGGAGGCAGATTCCACATCGAATGCAGCAACAGCTTGTAGACTCGTGCAGTCCTGACATCTCCATTGTGGCCTATGGACAACCCTTTTGCTGTTCATCAGACGATTTCTTTTCTTTTCTCTCTTTTATTCAAATGCGGAGAGTTGCAAAATCTTTAACCCATTACATTAAGAGAAGACAAGTGTCCATGCTGCTATTGTTGTATGGAGAATCCATAGAATCTCTTTAAGGTTGACAATTCATTAGCATAATTTCCTCACATTTTAATTCTTTTTTTTTTTACTGATTTATTCAATTTATATTTTTTCTCCCCTCTTTCAAAGAATTATCCAATTTATCAAGTCTTTCTTTTTGCTCATTTGATAAGCTTTCCAGCCGTGTTGACACAGTTGGTAAAGCCTCCTGTATCACCAAAATTGTTGTTTGCAACAATTTTGGTGATACAGGAGGCTTTACCAACTGTGTCAACACGGCTGGAAAGCTTATCAAATGAGCAAAAAGAAAGACTTGATAAATTGGATAATTCTTTGAAAGAGGTGACAACTCAACTATCTGATGTTCGACTTAAAGCGGAACAGAATACACAAAAAATGCAACAAGTATGTGAAAAATTGGAGACAGTAGATAAAGAAATATACTTAGTTAAGCAAACAAATAAGTCAACATGGAACTCAATGGCTGCATTAGAGATGGAGAAGGCATCTTACTATCTAAGATTTCAGAATATACCTGAAGAGAAAAATGAAGATCTACGAGAATTTATAACTGACATGTTGGCGGAGCTTTTAGAAATCGAAAATGAGGTCATGGGTATGGGAATTGACCTTGTTTTTAGAGTCAACTCCACATATACCAGAAAAAATAAACTTTCGAGAGAAGTTCATGTCAAATTTGCTCTAAGGTCCATAAGAGACAATGTTTTGAAGGCCATACGGGAGAAGCCATTAAAGAGAGATGATTGTCTGGAGGTGACGGTCCTGAAACAAATACTATGGAGGATTAGAGAGGGACGAAAGAAATATCTATTCCTTACTACCAAACTGACCAAGAAAAAGATTATCTTTAGGTGGCTAATACCAGAAGGAATATTTTTCACATGGAACTCTGTAAGATATAAATTGGATTCAATTTTTAAAGCCCAAGAGTTCTATGAGGAATTCAGAGCCATATTGGAAGAGGAGGATCCTCTTGTCTCTAAAGAAGGAGAAAAAGGTGCCGAAGCAATGGAAACAACAGCGTACCATTCTGAAGAAGGAGAAATACTGAGGGTTGATTCACAACAAGAAGTGCAAACTTTGGACTTAAAGGGGAAAAAAAGGTAGAACTGTAAAGGCAAAGAATAAGTAGATAATTTTATTTAAATATGGCTCTTAAAAAGGAAGGTAAAATTGAATTGTTCTCCTTAAATGTTAATGGACTAAATGGACCATCTAAGAGAAGGATTTTTGCTCAGCTTCAGAAACGAAAGTTAGATATAATCTGTCTACAGGAAACACATATTAAGAAACAATGTGTTAAACTTCTGAAATGCTTAAAACTGGGAAAATTGTTCTTTATCTTCTGTATCGCAAAAGGGGTTTAGCACTATATGTTAAAGAAAAATTGGACCCTAAATATATGCTTGCTGATGAGGATGGTAGGATCTTGATGGTAGAAATTACAATTAAACTTAAAAAGGTGCTCTTAGTGGCAATATACGCCAAATGACCATCAGGAAACTTTTTACCAAAAATTACACACATTACTTTTGCAAGTGGATGACCAGACTATGTGTGTAA